CATCCCTCTCCCATCCCTGCCCCTAGGTGTCCCTGTCCCCAGGTGTCCCATCACTGTCCCCAATGTCCCCAGGTGTCCCCAGGTGTCCCATCACTGTCCCATCACTGTCCCCAATGTCCCCAATGTCCCCAGGTGTCCCATCACTGTCCCGTCACTGTCCCATCACTGTCCCCAATGTCCCCAATGTCCCCGATGTCCCATCACTGTCCCATCACTGTCCCCAGGTGTCCCTGTCCCCATGGAGCTGCTGTTCGGGCGCCGGAGGACGCCGGAGGAGCTGCTGAGGCAGAACCAGCGCGCTCTGGCCCGCGCCGTGCGGGAGCTGGACCGCGAGCGGCAGAAGTTGGAGGCGCAGGAGAAGAAAATCATCGTGGACATCAAGAAGATGGCCAAGCAGGGCCAGATGGTCAGAGGGGACACTGGGGACACCACGGGGACACCGCGGGGACGCCACGGGGACACCAGGGACTGCACAGGGACACCACAGGGACACCACGGGGACACCAGGGACAGCACAGGGACATTGGGGACACCACAGGGACACCAGGGACAGGACAGGGACACTGAGGACACCACGGGGACACCAGGGACACCACAGGGACACCACGGGGACACTGGGGACACCGCGAGGACACTGCACAGGGACACCACACTGGACACGGACACCACAGGGACACCAGGGACAGGACAGGGACACTGAGGACACCACGGGGACACCAGGGACACCACAGGGACACCACGGGGACACTGGGGACACTGCGGGGGTGGGGCTGGGGGAGGACAGCAGGGGACAAAGGGACGTGGAGGGGACAAGGGGACACAGGACAAGGGACACGAGGACACGGAGGGGACAGGGGGACGTGGAGGGAACAGGGGACAGGCAGGGACAAGGGGACACAGGACAAGGGACAAAGGGACACGGAGGGGACAGGGAGCGCTGAGGGGGACATGGAGTGTCCCCTGTCTCTTGCTGCTGTCCCCGCTGTCCCCTCACTGTCCCTGCGTGTCCTGGTGCTGTCCCTGCGGTGTCCCTTGTCTGTCCCTTCCTTGTCCCTGCTGTCCTGGTGTCCCTCTGTGTCCCCTGTCCACCTGTGTGACATCCCTGCTGTGCACTGGTGTCCCCACTGTGCTGGTGACACTGTCGTCACTGTCACTGTCCCTGCTGCTGTCCTTGCTGTCCCTGTCACTGTCCCTGTCACTGTCCCTGACACTGTCCCCACTGTCCCTGTCCCTGCTGCTGTCCCTTATCCCCTGTCCCTGTCCCCACACCATCCCTGACACTGTCCCCACGCTGTCCCCATGCTGTCCCTGTCCCTGTCCCTGTCCCTGTCCCTGTCCCTGTCCCTATCCCTGTCCTTGTCACTGTCCCTGTTGATGTCCCCACTGTCACTGTCACTGTCCCTGCTGCTGTCCCTGCTGTCCCTGTCCCTGTCCCTGCTGCTGTCCTTGCTGTCACTGTCCCTGTCCCTGTCCCTGTCCCTGTCCCTGTCCCTG